CAGCATTCATAATTTAAGGAACAATCTGCCCATTTATTCTGAAGCTGACTAAGAGTGATAGCTTGGAAACATCATTCTAATTATATCTGAAAACCTCTTTGGAACATTCTTTTAAATTCACAAATAAAGACCAATGTTTTTTAAAGCATAAATCATAAGTCATCGTCTGTTCACAACAGAATCTATAGAGTACGTTAGATCTTAAATCCTGCATGTTAGTGTATCTCTTGTGTTTTGGTTTTATGTTGTGCTTTTAATGGCGGTTCTAAAGTACTAAAGTAAGCCACTGCATTCATTGAGAAGTTTCATGGTTCAGCTTTCATTGTTTAGAAAAATTAGAAAGAAGAGGCAGTCTACCTCATTATTCACATCTTGTTGTAAGCAACATTAGTGAACTGAGGACTTCAGAAAGGAACTTCTAGAATGCTCCTTGAAACTCAGCAAGCAAACATGATTTGACTTTTTAAAAACTCTGTTTTGTACAGCACTGACTTCTGTGGAACACAAAAAAGCAGAAACTTGACTTAATTAAAGCGCCTGACTCTCCCACAGGGGCGAAAGTGTTCCTGTGATGTTTTGGGCTTAGGCAGGTCTGACTGCGCAGGGCTTGTGCAGGAAATGGCTGTACACAGATGGCCAGCTGTAATGATTCATTATTAAATCGCTACCTGTCTTTTCTTAGAGTCCCCCTCTGTTACAGTACCAACATCCCGCCACCAAAGGGCACCCAAACCGATAGTACGTACCTCATCCACTCTGGGGTGGCGTAGGTTAATCAGACCCATCATCACGGCTCTGCTCCAGCCTGTTTAAACCCTGCTGCCTTGCTCAGTATTAGGTTTTCAACATGAGAACTACACATTGTGTTTTCCATGAGATCCTCTCTGTTTTCCCTTTTCAGCTCCCAATTCTCTGATTGTGACTTGGGTTTTCCTCAGGTGCTCTGGCCACCTAGACCTGACTAAATCAATCACATCCTCTAGCTTGCCATCTGCTGCTGTGTCCATCTGCATGTGTCAGCATCTTTTGCAGCGCTACTCTTGGGGCTCTGTGACAGTGTGTCTGGCAATACAAGAGTTTTTCCTGGTGCGTGCTCTGCTGTTGGCTTAAATCCCATGAGCCACATCAGAAGTCTTTGGCTGAGCAGTTGGACATTATCCAAATCTTTGCTGTTGATGAGAGGGGCTAACAGTAAATGGACTGTCATCAGCTTGAAACCTTCCAGGCAGTAGTGGTATTTCCTCAATTTCTCACAGGCCCAAACACTTGCCAGACATTTCTTTTCTATCTGCACATAGCGGGTTTCGGCCTCTGTGAGCCGGCTGGAGCACAATGCCACTGACTCCCACTCTTCTCCATGGAGTTGAAGTAACACAATCCTCCAATCCCATAGCGGCTGGTGTTTGCTGAGCCGGCTGGGGATCTGTTGATATTATAGTAGGCGAGAACTCGTGTCGGCATCAACAGCTCTTTGAGGCACTTGAATGGTGCTTGCTGTGTGTGACCCCATGTCCATGCATGTTTGTTCTTCAAGATCTTGAAGAACAGCTGTCTGATTTGGAGAGCTTAGGGACATATTTCCCCAGATGATTCGCCATATCTAAAACTCTTCAGCTCTTGGAGGTTCTCAGGTGGGGATAGCTGCTTGATCGAATTCCACTTTGTCTGGATCTGGCTACACCCCTGACTGGTCAATCAAGTGGTCCAGGAAGTGTAGCTGTCTCTGTAGGACAAAGCACATTTCCTTGTTCAGCATTAGTCCAGTTGATTTTTGCAGGACCCTCTTGAGACGTACTGTACATCATGCTCTAAAAGGTGCTCCTATTCAAATGGATGTCGTCCATGAACACTGCCAACTCCATCCAGACCTTGCAGTGTCTCTGTCTTTTTTCTTTGGAAGATCTCCGGGATGCTCTTTATTTCTAACGGAAGCCTCCAGAAACGATATCTGGCACGTGAGGTAATAAATATGGTCAGCTTACTACTCTCAGGGTGCTGAGGTATCTACCAGAAACCACTTGCAGCATCCAATGAATAGACTATAGTAGCTCTACTCAGCTTTGCTATGATTTCCTCTGGGGTGGGTAGAATGAATCTTTCCTTCTTGACAGTTCATTTAGTTTTTTCAAGTCAATGCAAATTTTCAAAATTCCGTTTTTTCCAACAGTATAGTAACTTGGATCGGGTATGTCTCCTGTTTATGGATGGATGCTATGAATTTTCCATTTATTGATATTACTCTTATGTAACTTATGTGAGTTTTGTTAATAGTCTATAAGTAATAACCTTCATTTCCTGTAACACAATTGACAGAATATCTTACCACTGAATCCTAGAGAGGTACAACTTGTAGTTTCAACATATGCTTCAAAAATTCAACATATTATGATCTCAGTTCTCTCTGTGGTTCTAATCTTCAGGTCTGAAAAGTCTAAATCACTAAGGGTATTTCTTCCAGCAGGTGCTTGAAACAACTGAGTGAGAAACAGTCATTAGCCATGGCTACCATTTCAGTTTCAGCAGCAGATACCCCCAATGTTCTCTTTCTATTCTATAGGGGGGAAATTAAATCATTAATATTAACCACTTCTTCCTTCATACCTTATATACATTCCTGATTTTATGATGGCACTGCATTCTCATGAATATCTGAATATATGCTCTTTGTGATGTATTGCTGCAGTATACTTCCATCTCTTCCATCTTTCCTGTCTTTCTACATATTCTCTAATTCTGTATTCTTCACCAATTGTTTGGCTTTTTCTTTTGTCTTCCTATCTTTTGGCGTTCTATCCATTTCCCTCGCAGTCCTTCTTTGGATTCTTCTCTTTCACTCTAGATATGACATTTTGGAATTTCCCAACAGATCACTGTCACCGGCCAGGAAATGGCCAATAATGACACATAATGCAAATATATATTATTTATGAGGAATATCATATTTAAGATGTGATGTATGGCTAGATATGAAATTTCAAATGACTTTTTAAAAAGTTTAATAAAAGATGTATATTTTTGTCAGCTGTGAATTGTGTATAAAAGGACTTAATCAATGTTGCTGACATTGCTAAGCCGGTTTCTGGCAGGATTCTGAATTTAATCAAACCTTATTATTATCCTTCCATATTCACAAAGTCACATATTTTTGACAGGGATGGTGGTCAAGCTAGCCTATACTGCAGGGCGCTGACACTGCAACAATTTAAAGACTGTTTATCCAAGTTATCATGTCTTTAGAAGGTAAAAACCCACATGAGCACAGAGAACATGCAAACTCCACACAAAAGGTAGCTCAGTCAGGAATCACACCCGTTTACCAGAAATTGAGAGGCGGCTGTGTTAATAACCACCCCAACCAAGCTACACAGCTTTATTAATACTAAATTATTTAATATTTTTATTTAAAATACATTTTAAGAAAATAGGTCAAGTATTTTTTCAGGCCCTAAACTGATTTCTAAATTCTAGGTCAATATAACCTCTGCTTTTGAATTGCTGATGCTTGGGTTTTGCACACACTTAGCAATACTTAGTTTATTTAAGAATTTATGAAGTATGAAGTAACTAATTTAAGTATTTTTTAAAATATTTTGTTCCCAATCAAAATCTGTTTGAATGGAGGCTCGTAACATTTTGGCCGATGAGAATGTTTGTTGTTTGATGGGTTTTTCTAAACAAATATTACAACTTAATCAAAACCAAGAACCATTTTATCAGTTTTTATCTTTGTTTATATTGTAGACAACCACAGTATGTAACCTGTGTTGTTACTGTTTCAGACATCTAGTGGAGCTTTTACCAAAAATGTTTAGAAACAGGGAGTATTAAATATCACATCGTTCTGCTACAGTAGTGTCAGTCTCAACACTATATTTTTTTCTCAGACTAGTGTACAATTACTATTTACAATCCTTAGGACTTTATGAAAACTAGAAATATTTGTCTTTTTGCAACTCATTCCCAATTACCATCCACTTTACACTTGCCTTCATAAAAGTAAATAGATTGTGGTTACTATTAACTGCACTTCCTGAAACATTATCTTTCAAAGATGAAAGTCTAAAGAACATGCATTTCTTTCCTCACACCCTTACAGGCAATGATCTTTGGCCACGTCATCTTATTTTAGTTGAAGAAGCCTAGTAATATCACATATACAGGATTGTAAAAGCAGACTGTTTTCTGTTGCACATTTTAATTAGGTGAAGGAGGAAAGGTCAGAACCTAATACAAACATTACATACAGTTAGCATTTTAGTGTGGCTCAGAAAGAACATGATCTACTAATTGACAAAATTGGACTATATTGCCATTTATATGTGCACACCTAGATTGGGGTCACAATTCGTTTTATACACACACTGGCAGAAATATTGTAACACCTCATCAAATAAAACTGAGCTGCTCAACTTAAAGATTAAATTATATGACAGACTTTGAAATATGGGCAGCTCAATCTCATTGCTCTGCAAATAGAATTGTCTGTATTTGTTTGTGACTTGGGTATTATTTTTATGTTCTACCAGAATGCAGAATGCAAACAGGACTGAGATCAGGGGATTATTCTGAACAGGGAAAACAATGAAAGTATAATGAAAGTCATATCCCTCATACCACCCTCATGCCTGCCACAATAATATTATTTTTGGATGAAGGTTCTTAATATTTTCACTTAAACATATATATTACATTACTTAATTTTGGGATTAAGACCGTAATATTAATATCCAATATATTCCAGATGAAAAAACAGTTCTAAATCTGCCACGTAGACCTTTTAATGTAGAAAATACTCTGATTACTCGTTGAAAAGTTCTTAACATCCATCCTTATTAAGTTGTATTACAAAATATAAACAGCAACCACACAAATAAAAAAAAACAAATGTAGTATAAAATCATTTTTTCTTGTAAACAATTTTCTTCACACCATTTTTCAAACTATGTTTTGCAAAAACAACATTTCAATTTTTTAAACAAAACGGTACCAAGAAACACTAAAAACTTTAAAACCTTTTATTTGGAGAAAGTCAAAATTTATATTTGCATGTCTCAAAAGCTTTTAAAAAATAAAAGATCAACTCTACAAAGTCTGAATATTTTATAAATCTTTGTACAACAAACACTGCAGCTTTCAAATCAACATTTGCTGAATACAAACATGGCATAAGTAAATCTGATTGTTGTTTGAAAAGAGAAGTGCTACAGTACTGCACCACCACCTCGTAGGCATATGAACAAATGTACAATATGTGCATCTCCTCTCTGGTGTGTGATTCATGAAATTCAGCTTTTCTTTATGAGTTTTATTAGTTTTTTTGAGTCTCTTTTTCAGGTACAGCTCTTCTGCGGTCTGTGATTTGTGTTCTTCGGCTCAGATGACTAAACCTCATCAATGTAAACTCATGGGAAAACACTCAGCATGTAGTCAGGAAGGGGTGGAAGCAGCCCCCAACCACAAGGGTCACAGAGTCTTAAGGCCCTTATTCAGATTGGCTTCTGACCCAGTTATTTAACTGGACAAATTGAGCTCCAGAGTGGTTGGATCGTAAGGTAATGGTGGTTTAAAGAAACATAGCTTGTTTACTGGACAAAACATTGCTGACGGGGGATACGTCATGGTTGATCACTGGAAAAATAGCACGTAAGTACCAACTAGGGAAGTCCTTCTTTTTGAGAACATGACCAAAGTTATGCATGTAATAGGTTACTTAGGGCTGTTGTATACACACTGCTCTGAAAGAATAAACTCCACAATCATGCAGCAAGTAGTAGTTTAACCACATTAGGCACAATCAAGTTTTTTTTATTACTGCAGGGTCCAGTTTTCACTTTAGCTCTGTCGTGACCACAAAACAAAGCTGTGTTTCTTATGCAAAAAGTTCCACACACGAATGGATTATTCAAATTCAATTTCTAATGACTTTGCAGGGATATTTTATTCTTGCATGGCAGTGTATGTAAAAACATAATGAACAAAGAGACCACTGAGATTGATTGCAGCTCAACAGAGCAGACGACTTATGATTTGGCAGCTGGAGTTGAAAGGTGAATTGGGCGTCAGTCATTTATTAATGCCAGGATCATACTGTGGAAAACAGGAGCTAGGTTAGTGAATGCAGGATAAAATGCTAGATATTACTGGCAGCACATTAAACTCAATATTAATAAAATTAATAGAGACCACGTACCAGTGCACCATTAAGAAGGGGTCAATATGAGACCCGAAGAATTGACATTTAAAAGACATAACTAAGCAATGAAAATTCTGGTGTAAGAAAACACTAGAATTTGTCAAACAAAATATTATAAAAGGAATAAGTCTGCAAAACGTACCTTAATCATTTTTTTAATAAAAAAAGATCTTTACGTTTCAGAAAACTGCTTCACATTTGGACTTGAGGAAAAAATAACTTATACCAAAGAAATCATTCAAGGAACAGGAAAGCAGAGTACTTAACTGAGCTTTCAATTCTACTTAAGTTTAATTACAATAAAGAAAATAGTTAAAAAACTGTACCAAACAATTACACTAAAATTCAAAGGGCAGGGAAGTCATATCTTGTTTCAAGCACTCATAAATAAGAATCCATGGCTGAAATTAATTTCTTTCTAGTTTTCCCAAAAACCTACAAATTAAAGTTTTACTTATTCCTGCTACTGTTTTTCTTTTCAATGCATCTTGTACAATTCCACCATTTCTCACTTCCTGGTGATTTGGCATTAATCTGAAAGGATTTCATGTTTAAAATAAATGCAAGCCAAGATACATTTAGTTTAATAAGTATCATTCATTCACTACCTTAAAAGATACAAGGGTGCTGGAAACTATTTTTATACTATCCAGCATGTAATTTGAACTTGGATTTTTGAATAATCTATCAACTCCATCTACACAGAAATCCTTTTACTTGTTTCAATCTTTCCTCAAGTTCCAGCACTATGAAAACTTGACAGCACTTCAAGTACAAACTATTTCTTCTAAATTATGTTATTTTGCGCTTCGCAGAATGTTGAATAGCAAGTAGCGGGGGAAAAAAACAAGGGAATTCAAATCTCAGTAATAGACAAAAAGGCATCAAGATGACTTGAGCAGTACTTATACTGCCAGTATCAGTTTAGTGCTGCATGTAAAATACACAAAAAAGATGCATGGAGAAAGCCCTCACCTGTAGAGATAAATGAAGAAACACAGCAGGTGAAAGCCAAGTTTGATCATGGCCTCCTTCATATGGGATTTCAGCAGCCCTCGATTGTGAATCTCTGTAGGGTCAAACACTCCCATATTACCCATTGGGACCTTCAAAAATCTGAAGAAAAGAAGGGAAAACCAACACTCATTCCCTATGAAGTTAGTCCCTCTACTAGAGTACTTTGTGATCTTTTTGGATGAAAACAGCATACAAATTACATTAATTATGATCTCTGTGCACTAAGAGGGCAAAAATACTTTGACTATTACAATACTTACTGCCTAAATTAAACAATATAAGTATGTTTCTTAACCAAGTGCATTCTGCAATCCATTTCTGGAAAACACTACAAAACCGGCCGGCCAGTAATCATTTTGAGATTTCTGACCAAATATATCTTTGAATTGCCTATCTTTCAGAAACAAAAAGTATACATTGTAAAATGTGATTTTTATGCTAAAATCTAAATGAGCCTCATTTGTTTTTAGCTGTTTTATGATAGCATGAACAATCATTAGTTCTGTCTTAGATTTAACATGGGTTATTTCCCTTGACACAAAGGATGACACACTGCAGTTTTCAAGATTTTACAAAGGTCTACACAACACGCCAAAGTTGTAGCAATTTTAAGCATCATTTCATTTCCATCACCTGCAAAAAGATTATGAAGAGCGGAGGTAGGTGATGAGTCACAGATAAATATTTTTCAGGATGACATTTCTACTTTAATAACTTAAAAAATCCAACACTTAACTCAAGATTTTGCCAACAGTTTTGTTTTTATATTGCTGCATGGAATTATGTGTTGGACATCCAGGCCCAGAATAGAGCTGTAAGTGTGTTTCCTGTCCAATTGCATACGCTTAAGAAAACAAGCAGGAGATAACCTAAAACTCTCAACTAAAGTTCAAGCTGCGCAGTGATCTTGTGATGTTTATTTAAATTTGTGTACTATTTGTTTTTTGCTTAAAAAAAGCAACAAGAGACGTAGGGGATCATAAGACTTATCAAGTGCTATGAAACGCTCAAGAGCATGATGCATAAAAATGTGGAAGCACAGTGGTCAGGACCGAAAGTGCTCCAGAATCCCTGCATTTTACTGGAGCTAACACTGATTTTTTTTTTCAAACGGTTAACCTATTTACATTACCATAACGTCAAGACCTCACAGGGAAAAGGATCAACTCTCACAGAGTAACGGTTAACCCAGCTTTCAGAAATAATGGCCTGTGCTGGTCACAACTGTGTTGGGTACCAAAACATGAGAAATATATACTTATATTAAGCAAGCTTTTCTATCCAAAATAAACATGACTAGCTTAAAGAGGCCAGTAAGAATAAAAAAGGGCTGCCACTGCTCCATAAGAAAAGACATGAACGTGATTGGCTTAAAGTAAACTACTAGAATTTTGCCTAACACCAGGGATAGAGGCTTAACAGAAGAGATGTAGAAACTCACCTGTAGACGTTCCAGGATGCAACAGGCAGGTTGAGAAGGAAGATGAACCAATGCAATGAAACAAGCATCAGAACTGTGGCTATCGCCTGACCAACCAATTCTGGCACAATCCACTACAAGACAAACAATACAGCTGATCTTACAATTCTCTTACTCGATGGCTTCTCGTCATAGAAAATTGTACCCAATAAATCAATATGTCATGTTTTTAGTAATAAACCTTCCTGCATACTCAGTAATTAACTTACTGACTCATTCCTTCACTTTTTGAATTTCCAGACTAGTCATCAGGGTGGTAATTCTGAACAAAGCTTTTAATTATAAAGGTTTCTTGTATCCTATTTAGTATCTTGATTGGAAACCAACTTTTTGGTTTCTTTGAGGTAGTGTAATAAACAAGTCAGAATAATGTAATAAACATGTCTTGCCATGTAACATTAAGGTGTAAATCACATTTATTTTAGCAGAGGCTGAATACCAGGAGAATTCCTTACACCACGTTTAAGTTTTAGTGCATACTGTATGTACACCAGACATTTCTCAACATTCAGAGCTGAAAAAACAGGTAAACACACACAAACCTGGTAACATTTTGAAACAAAAACAACTTACTTTGTTTAATTTGGAACAGCAAGCTCTTGCATTAATATAATCACATTCTAGATCAGAAAGAGTAATTATCTGCAATACAAGTTAAGGAAACGTGCTGAAACAATACATTTGTCTTAGACCTCTCTCAGGCAGTTTCCTTCTTTCAGACACAGCAGCTGTAAACTCTTCTGTAATAAATCTAAATAAGATGTCAGGCACATAGGTGGTTAGGTACATCCTGTGCAATCACGCCAGAAGAAGCATCTGTCAGTACACATTCTATTTTTCATAGTAGTGTTTTCAATAGTAGCAATGCTGAATGTAACATTTGGTCAACACTGTAAAATAAGATGCAAAGCTTAACATAGAACACAGAAACCAAGCCTCTTTTACAATTACTTTAAAATTCGATCTTCAGTATTAATTTACTATAAATTATATTATTTTGTAACGCAATGCCCCTATAAGTTTTTTTCTTTGTATTCAAACTACGCTAAAAACAAATGGTAATACTGGTATTTCTGTAGACACTGCAAAAGCTGACTATTCAGCCTGAACATCAAGAACAGTAAATAGTAACAATTAAAGAGAGATTTCAGCAAACAATTGTAATTACAGAGGACGGCTGAAATGAACAGTGCCTGGTTGGCTAGTACCAGTCCTAAAAACCGAAGGCATGTCAATTGTAATTAGAAAACCTACAGAAAAGCACCCTTTCGCTGTGCACAATCACAGTTGTTTAACAGAAAACAACCTAATCTGTATATCACCAGCAATACTAAATCAAGTTAATTCAGCCAGGTTTAACAGGTTAAACAACTATCCAGTATAAATTTATCAAAAGCGTATGTAATAAACTGTGAAGTGTATTCTGAACAACATCGTTCTACAGACCAGTACCGCGAAACTACCCACCACAATTTATAAACTGTGGGCAATCAAAGACCCCTTACAGTAACGCCAAAATGATTTGCTACAAACAAAGCTTTCAACTCTTTAAATTAAAGGATACAAAGTAAACTGACAGAAAAATTAAAGCACAACAATCGATTAAAGACAGAATGAACACTGCAGCCTCCATCTTCAACTTCCTACTTTTTTGTCACTTCCGCTGAAAGCTGTCTACATCCCTAGCGCCTTTTTTTAAAAAAAGAAAGAAAATGCTTATATGACCTATCGCCATCTTGTGGTAGTAGTAAATTATTCCTTGAATCCGTTTACGTTTATAACATGCTGTGCATCAAGACTACGTAACTCCAGTCCATGAGCACACTATTTCTTTTTCCAAATTTTTATGGTTTAATTGAACTAAGTAAATGGATTAGGCGTTACATCGGCTGTGGTTTTCAGAACTTAATCAGGTGTTAATTTGAAAGGCACAAGACACATCTATAGTAAAACCTACAGGACTCTGGCTATCCCTCTATAAATTGGCTTCATTACTCTGCTCTCCTCCCCACTGATAGCTGATGTGTGGTGAGCGTTCTGGCGCACTATGGCTGCCGTCTCATCATCCAGGTGTATGCACATTGGTGGTGGTGGAGGGGAGTCCCCAATACCTGTAAAAGCACTTTGAGTGGAGTGTCCAGAAAAGCGCTATATAAGTGTAAGCTATTATTATTATTATTATTATTATTATTATTATTATTATTATTATTATTATTATTGTTATCCACTCTTGATCTGCAAGGGTTTTCTGCGTGTTTAAAGGGAACATCTTTCAGCTTTTTGTTTCAAAATGTCATATATTTGATATGAGATTTTGTACATATGTGTGGCATTATAGATTGAGTAAAGTAAATGAAGGGAGCTTGCATTATTAAAATGCTTCTATCCACAACAAATCACTACTTTAAATTCACTAAAGCAACTGATTTTAGAAGTATCTTTTTTAGGTATGTGATGAAGTCAGGTGTCATGTTTTGTTAGCTGACACAATATTTTCTCCCCAATTCAGACAAAGTAAGGATTGTATCTGGAACAGGGCACAGTGCACTGAGCTCAATGCGTGTTATAGTAATAGTAATGTCACCCCCTCGAATCCTAGAAGTGTAGAATAAGGGCCCGGAGCAAAGACACGGTCGTTTGGAACAACAGAATAACTGAGGATCTAAATGCATGTGAAAAGATAATACCCAGAGTTGATATTAAAATAAATATAGATTTATTTATTAGTGTAACATTAAAAAGTGGGGGGGTCATCAATTAGTTGTTAGATAATGCTGGGCTGTCTTCAGTGCCCTGAAAAAAAAATGTCATTATCATCATCATCAAGGGGGATGTCACTCTAACACACCCTCCGTTGTATAGAATCTATGCCAACTGTTAGCGACAAAAGGAGGCTGGCTGAGAGTGACTAAAAGGATAATGATTGTATTCCTTTTCAGCAAGCCAGGATTGTGGAAGGGAGCCCAGCAGTTCTTTATAAGGAATGAATACAATACAATCATCACCTGTGGAGCTACAGGTGCACATAAACAGGATAGTGCAGAGCTGGAGGGTCCAAGGCAAGCTGTAGGACCTGAGAGCTCACTGATCAAGGAGGAGCCGTTGAGGTGATGTATATGAATGAACACAGAGGGGCAAGCCATGCAGATCTCGTCCAGGCCCCTTCACAGCCAGCCCAAGGTGACTTGTACCCTGCTGGAATCCCCCCAGGTAGATCCTGGTAGAGGGTCAGTTGGGTCAGTTTTAGATGCCTGCTAGTTAAGGTGGCTGAATCAGAACGCCCTGTGGCCAAATAAAAAGCAGAAGGTGGTCAGATGTCTGCTGAAGGGGTCAGGCATCGCTGGGCCTCCATGGAGGCAGTGGTGGGTCACAGCGCTGCGCCAGGATGGACACATTTGGCGATGACTCTGTGACCCTCTGATACCAAATGAAGAGCTCATGAAAAGAAGGGCTGAAAGAAGAAAGCCAGGCATGATAGGAGCAGCCAGCAGCAATAATTTGATATCTTGTCAGCATCTGGGAGTTTGCCTACACTCACTCAAAGGTGGTAGCAGGTTTCCAAAACTGTGCCAATCTGCCTGATCCGCAAGCTGCCAGAGACTGGTGATGGACTGTACTTTCACCCACAGGCCGAACGAGTCACGCTGATAAATACCTTGAAAAAGGTCCAAATATGCATCTCATTAGTCTAAGGGCTCAGTTAGCAAGCTTGACTAGAACGAAAACCAGCAGGTACAGTGTGTTACGAAGTAGTAGTGACGACCCTATGCAGAAACCAGATCATTTCCCAGAGGCGTAGTCGAGCGAGCAATCCGAGGTCTGTAAGCCATACAGTAGGTAATCAAGCCAGGCAAAAGTACAAAAACCAGAAGCAGAGCCGGAAGCCATGAGGAAGCCAAGAGTCAAAACCAGTACAATCGGTATAATGCCAAAATCGTAGTCGGGGAACAAACCAGGGTCAGGAAGCCAATTAACAACTAGAAAGTCACAGCGATAGAAAGGATAAATCTAGCCAGGATAAATCTAATACTGAGCAAAGACAAGTGTGTAAAGCAGCCTTGAATAGACTGAGGTAAACTGGCTAATTAGGAATTGTGCTGTAATGCGAGGTGGAATGATGAGTCCTCCAGGGTCATGGAGTAACTCAGTGGTCCTGAAGAATGAAACTGGGAAGCACAGGAGGGTTTTAGAGGAGTGGGAGATGGAGTGACTCTTGCCATTAAATCCCTTTTTTGCTTAATTTTTTCAAACAAATATTGAAACATCTGTTTTTTTTTCAGAAAGTAAAATAATTTGTCAAGTTTTTTCATCAAAATATTTATCTGTATTAGATATCAAAACTGTATATCCTCTGGGCATTTTGTGACACCACATTAGCAGTATATATCTGTTAGCTTTGGAATATGTTTTATCAATTTCTGGTTTCTGCCATTATTATACTGGTAAGTCTCATATTATGAGATGAGCTGTCAGATTTAGCCCATAACACCAAACAAACATTATAGATGTTACATACTGTAGATATAATAAAACTAAAAACTTAAAAGTTTGAAAACTGTAGGTGTATTAATTCAGATGTATCTAGATCTGTACAGTATCACCAGAATGCCCAAACTCTGATGAGAGATAGGTGTCTAAAAATGGCATTAATAATCTGGTTATTAATATTGTATATATTATTTACACATAACCACCGTGAGAGCACAGCACAAGATGGATACCTTGTCTGATTTACATTCTGTGGGAGGTTTTGGTGAAATGAGCTGCTCCCATTTGCTGGATAACAAGTGAGATGATCATTTAAAAAGCAGTAACTGGAGGTTACCTGTTGGAGGTTATCAGCTGTCAGCAGGTTACAAGACAGGTCCTCTGTCTGCTTCATTCACCGGGGGGTGAAGAACTGACTGTGATCGTAAGGAATCGGTGAGTTTTGTGGAACTGTGAACCTAGGAGCTAGGAGTTCTTGAGATGTTGTGGACGTTTTTTTTTCTTGAAGGGTCTCAGAGAGAGACTGAAGTGTTTTAAAATTGTATTAAACAGCTAGGCTGTCTGGTATGATAGAAAGGGGTTATGTGAAAAATACAGTCAGAAGCTCAAAAAGGAGCTCTGTTTTTGTTTTGGTTTGTGTTGTATTTTGATTTCCCTCACTGCACAGTAAAATAAAAAGCACTTTTTTAACCTTACAGCTGCATGTACAGTATGTATGACTATCCTATACCCTCCTACTTTAAAAATCCTGTAAGGACATGTCCTGTCACATCACTTAACATTAAGTAATTTAAATTATGAGACCTTATCTTTGTTGGTTGTGTAATATGAATCACATTGTATAACTATGTTATCATTTATAGAAAAATTTGGTTACAGTTTTTGAAACACCAAACATATTTTGTCTAGTAAGTATATACCTTAACCTGATCATGATGTTATAATTCTAAAACAATATTTTAAAGATTCTAAAACAAGGTTTAGTGTATCACCTGTATGCATGGTTCCAAACATCACTAAGAATTGGGTGGGATCAACACAACACATTCATTTACATTGTTATCTGCTGTACATCCCATCATTCCTTTAACAAGAAATACCGGTACAGCAGAGTTTTCAATTAAGCAAAAAGAGTTTGTGACAGACCCCACCCAAAGGAAGCTCCAGTGATCTGTGCAACTGAAAACCCACAATGGCAAATAATTCTCAAATCGGATGCTTTATTCCCAAAATATTGCAAACATATCTTAACACCAACATCCCTAGTGTACCAAGTGACAAACTAATAACACTCCTGAGAGTTCTTCTGAATACCTTATCAATTATCTATTCTATAATTAACTATCTATCTATAATTATTGTAAATATTATAACCTGCTCTCTAAAACTAAAACAGGCCTTTAACAGTCTCAAGTGGCAGTCAGCAGAGTTAAAGACCAGCCTGCCCACAGAGTTGTTGCGGCTGTTTATTGTTTTGTGTATTATAGACCAGCTGTGTAATAAACTCCCACTCTCCCTGGTGTCCCTGTAATTCTGTACGTTTTGAGAAAAAGAGGATTAAATTAAATAAAACCTTCTCTTACCAGTGGAAAGTGCCTCTGCTGCAATATTAATCCTTTTAAGATTAATTTCAATGTGTAATTAACTGAAGACTACTGTAAAAACTGTTTCAAATTTGGTCAAGTTTCAAACAAAGGACTTTTCTGACATGTTTTTCATGCTTTTCCCTTAACACCTGTTAGAGGAGGTCTCATCTTTGAGGACACCATCCATTCAAAAACTTTAAAGTTTTGGAACTTTTCAAAACCAAAGGACCTGTATTCCAACCAGTAAACCAAATTACAGGTTAACTGTAAGCCCAGGGCACTACCAATTGCAAAGGACTGTACTGTACTTCACTAATTGGACAAAAAAAGGAGATTATCTCGATATTGCTTTTAATTCTTCACTCATTGTAAAGATGATCTAGGCCCCAGGGGACAGATTTGTCAATGGTTTACAAGCAGATATGATTCAAGATTATTTTATAAAAGACAGTGGGCTATATTCATTAAACATTTACCACCGTTTGTGGCAGAGTGCCTGCAGGTCAGAGTCTTGTAACGACGAATGGCATACCACTAGAGGCCGCCAAATATGGCGAAGAATCACTTGACTGTATGTGAACTTGGTTTCACATGGTGTTTAATAGAGTGACGTTTTAATTTCAAATTCCCACTTGAGGTATTGAGTATAAAAGGGGATATTTTTATGGTGGTAGCTGGTTGGAGAGTAGGAACTCAAACATTTAGACCACAGCAGTGTAACCACCCTGTTAGTTGTTTGGTTAAACGAGGATAAATATAATCGAATTTTAAATATAGTAGGTTGACATTTTGTAAGAGCTTAAATGAGCTAGGTGTTTTCTTGTCCTTTATCTTAAATAAAACAAGTTAAGCTCCTGAATCTTAGGTTCTATTGGTGTGGACTGATTTATGTCTAAAGGTCCCCGCAACCACACGTTCAGAATCGTCCACACGATTTCACTCCTTTTTATTAATGTAAGAATCGAAGACTTTATTTTGAACTTGGAAATTCTTGTATCTACTGGCATCTTTTGTGCAAAACTAACTTCGATTAACTGCCTGTCCCTGTCCATATGTATAACATAGGTAGCATTACATGAATGTTACAAAATGTATATGTATTTTTGTTCACAATGTAGACGGTCCTTTCATTTCTCACACTCACAAAACGTCACAGACCCCTATACCTACATCAAATATAATTTGTAAAAAGTCTCAAGATACAGCTGTGGCAGGTATAACATTCTGAGACCGCAGCTGTAACGCAAGTTTAGAATTCGAAAAGCCGCTCAGCTGCTCTCCACAGCTTAACTAGGACACACCTTGTACAGTTTCGATTATTGTGTGAAGGAAAATGTAACTGCAATCTGTTACTGTAACCAAAGATCGCAGAAAATCTTTAAGAAGCCAATTGCTGGCTAATTGAATTTAATGTGTCAGAAAAATTTTAAACAAAAAAGAGTTAATACCAAGCTAACTAGTATAATTCCTTTCCTCCCAAATTATCCCAAAGTGTTGTGCATAGTATGAGACCCCCTTCAACACTGAACCGCAACACCTACAGTACAGTACTTGGTCAATCTGGACCAGCAGCTGAACTAGATATTGTAGTCTCTATTTTATATCCTGGTTAAAACTAATTTTGAATTTTCTTATAAGACAGCAAAAAATAATAAAATGCTTAAGAATTACACCGTGTATGGATTTAAATAAATAAATCAGGTGTTTAGATACATTTTCCTGATACACAAGAAGTTCATTGTTATCCTACTTGTTAAACACCAAGGGCATTTTATATAAAAACTTATAGTGCAGTGCATTGTACATTTCGTTAACATATACATACAGTATATATTAATTAGGTAGCATTAAAATGTATTTTTTTTATCAAAGTTGTATTTTCGTTCACAATATAGAAAGCAAGTTTATTTACAGAGTGCCGCAGACCCTCATCAGTACAAAAAAAGGAATAGTGATACGAACCAGAAACGTCAAAAAACATTGTTATTGTGATTCATTTTATTGGACGAAATTGTGAAATCTCCAAAAGCAAAAAATAAACCTGTTATAAACAGATACGCACTTTAAGACAGCCAAAGTGTGTGAGAAAACGAGAAAAGTAACTTTAGGTTTTTATATGTAAGTTGTTATCAGTAAATAATATAAATCAGACGAGACATTTCTGTCATGCGATATGTTATATAAAAGCGACAAGTTCAGTAAGATTTCCCAGTATTCAATGGAAATGGGCAGGTATTTAAAAACCTCGAAATTCAAGCACAGATCCACCTGTGTAGGATTCTGCACTTCATTGCCCTGCTGATCGGGGACGCGATGGCTTCGGATTCCACTTGCGACGAGCTGGTGTTCTTCGTCAATGGGAAAAAGGTATTCTTTTCTTTTGTTTTCTATTGAATAGTAATTTCTCGTTGAACAACACAAGACGAATACGTTTAATGGCGTATAAACAGTTTTAATTTAGCCTAATGCAAGTTATAGAGCTTAAAGACGAAAATTGTCTTTAAGCTACGTTTAAGATATGCTTAGATTAGTGGTTTTCACGTATTATATTTAGATTTGACCACTTGTGTAACTAGTTCTACTAATGTTAGTAATAATATAAACTACAGTTAAAAGGGTACGATAATGATAATTTATTGTTAGTAGTAAAGCAGGGAATTAGTAACAATGTTTGTATGTTCAGTTTATTTTCACATTCGTTTTATCTCAGGTGCGTAGTGCAGTATAGATGCGTTTGTTTTGTGTTATTTCATTTTCCGGTTAGGGTGAGGAAAGAGTATGGTGTATGAATAAATGCCCCGCTTTTAGTATAATAAATAATCGTTCTCTGTTACGTGTGCACTTCGTCGCCTTTATCAACATTCACTCTTGCAGCACTTTGACAAGCCACCAAGACATTTTTAAAAATTGTTAGGATTTTTTTTTATAAATGCTTAAAATGTTAATACTTGTTTGTTCTGTGGATTAAATGGTCTTGTTTATATGAGGTGGGGAATAAAAGGCAGGCAGAGCCTGCTTCAGGTTCGACAAGACAACTTTATGGCCCTTTTCTTTGCAGTGATTTGGCTCTAGCTAATGCTAGAGAGAGAGAAGAGACAAAGTGCATCCACTTGGAATAACCCAAGGCAAAGACAAAGAAAGAAAATTGCTCCCTGCCTTTATAGAAGGGAAAGGCAAGAAGGGGTGAGCCTTGAGGGAAAACTGTACAGTAAGGGTCACTGAGTTGGCATATTCTAGAGGATGAAAAAATGCTCAAAATGCAAAATAAGCTTATGTAAGGGTGTAAGCTTTCCGCCAGCGCGTGAAGTGGTTCATTGTGACTGGCTCAATAAAACAGATCCTTTCGGGTGGTGCAGGAGTCCTAGCACTGACAGCAGTCTGCGCCATCTTGTCATACCCACCTTCATTATGCCAGGCCAGGATTTTGGTGACCCCAAAATGCCTAACCCCCGAGTGGGCTGTGATGTGCCTAGTCTTCAGCGTGGCGTGGGAAGACCTGGCTCTTCAGTGCCAAGGGCACTGCCCCTCTCCTGATGCAGGGTGCACCCAGCGCCCATTCAGCACACCGTCTTGAATTTGCAAGCTGGGCCACTGATTAATGAGCTTGTAATGAGGGTGGGTCCCCAGCCATCTCATCTCAGGTGGGGTGTTCTCTGGTCTGCATCCACTGCGAACCTCCTGGAGTTCTGGATGGGCTTCCTGTCCCCGTGTTGGCACAGGGTCTGGGAGCCATGTCCGGCAGCTCGTGGTCATTGGGGGGGTCCCATTCCTGAACCTTCCTCTCACAGCACTCACAGTGCTCACAGTGCACTGTTCTGTCTACACAGGGCCTCGGTATCCCAGTGCTGCATTAATGTTGTACTCCTGCAGCTTCGCTATCCAGCAAGCCACCTGGTCTCCAGGCTTGGCCTAAATGCTTAAGCAGTTTTGCAGCAGTCTTTACATATTTTTCTCTCTATTCAGTTCAATTAGAATGTGTTTTCATGTCATGGCAAAGGGTTATGTGCAAAACTTTACATGTATAGCATACATGTAACAACATACAAACATTCCTTGAGGGAAATTTAGTAACACTGTAACCCCCCATCATTGAGAATCACAGAAATAAAACCCCTCCCCTCCAATTTAGTAACATGGTAGCTATAACCTACTTCTAATATTAAGTAAAACAGAAACATATCCATCCATTTTCTAGCCACTTCTTCTAACTCGGGGTTGCAGAACCTATCCTGGCAAGCAATGAAAGCAAAGCAGGCAAGGTGCATCCTGCAGGAGGTGACAATCAATCAATCAATCAATTAATCAATCAATCAAGGTTTATTTTTCAATGCACGAACAGTACAGCATACATCAGTGTTGTCGGCAATGAAATGCTTTTTCCGCGAGCTTGTTAAGAGGGATAAAAGGATACAATAAATAAAAGGATTTTTTTTTAAAAAATAGGATACAATAAATGACACCATTTACAATATAATTTACAATACTGTAATGCTTACGGCCGACAAGTACTGTGTGTAAGAGCCGGCGTACCAGAGCGGGTGACTTCACCGCCCTTCCCTGTGATAGCAGGACCAATGTAACGCAACGGGGGCTCAGGCGGGCGCCCTTGCCGCATCTGGTCGGCCCCATCCCGACTGGAGGCTCGAACCCGGGACTTCCGCGTCTCTCTGCAGCGACCTAGCCCCGTGAGCTAAAGAGAGATCTCTCAAGTCCCGGGTTCGAGCCTCCAGTCCGGATGGGGCCGACCAGATGCGGCAAGGGCGCCCGCCTGAGCCCCCGTTGCGTTACATTGGTGTCAGGAGTGGGATGGGATAGCCCTTCGCTGGGGACGGCGATTTAAGCGGGGGAGAGTGTAACGCTTACGGCCGACAAGTACTGTGTGTAAGAGCCGGCGTACCAGAGCGGGTGACGTCACCGCCCTTCCCTGTGATAGCAGGACCAATGTAACGCAACGGGGGCTCAGGCGGGCGCCCTTGCCGCATCTGGTCGGCCCCATCCCGACTGGAGGCTCGAACCCGGGACTTCCGCGTCTCTCTGCAGCGACCTAGCCCCGTGAGCTAAAGAGAGATCTCTCCACAGCCCAGTAGCTGTGGTCCTGCTATCACAGGGAAGGGCGGTGACGTCACCCGCTCTGGTATGCCGGCTCTTACACACAGTACTTGTCGGCCGTAAGCGTTACAATACAATACAAATTGTGCGAAAGTAGCATAAGCATAGGAGGTATTTTGTGCTCTTCGTATGTGTCCTGAGAGTGCAAGTGACAGGAGGGCGTCGGTCACAGGGCAGGCGGACAGACACACACACATTCACTCCTCTTCCCAGAATCTGATTAATCTACCAGTATGTCTTTGGACTCTAGGAGGAAACCAGAGCACTCAGAGGAAACCCACACAAGCACGGGAGGAACTCACCTCTTCACTAACTCCACACAGCTAGCAAGCCAGGTCAGGAAATGAACCCAGGTCCCAGCGCTGTGAGGCAAGAATGCTAAACACAGCGTGCTGTGCCACCCTCCAAAAGAAATCTCCCCTCTGATATGAAAGGGGACAGTAAAACCTCCACATGCGATTTTGGTACAGGGTGACCCCATCTTTACAACTCTTTCTCTGTATTCACGAACACCATGACTTTCTGAAAATAAATGCTCTTTTTTATCTGTAACAGACATACGTTGTACAGTACATTTTCTACAGTGCCTCTCTCTAAGTAAAATGCAGTACATTTTTTGCATCTGCTTTTCTGCCAAACTGGTTTGGCCAATTGCTCATGGGAGGTGTCTGGGCCAATGCCAACAACCTGTTCAGTGGGTTAGCTGTGTATTCACCTTAAAATACACATTTAAATTTGGCACATATTTTAGTGCACATATTCCATATCGCTTAGCCTAAAATAACAAAAAAAACTTTTCTTCTATAAATGTTGAATTTGAAGAACACAATCATTTTCTGTACATTTCATTCTAGTAGGGTTGCACAGTGGCACAGATGTTTGCTTCTTCGCACAGCTGGGGTCCTGGGATCATCTCTGGACCTATCTGTGTGGAGTTGGTATGTCCTCCCTGTGTTTACATGGGTTTTCTCCAGGTGCTCTGGTTTGCTCCCACAGTCAAAAGACATGTTGGTAGGTTAATTGGCTTTGGTGTGAGAGTGTATGTGTCTGTGTGTCCCCTGTGATGGACTGGCGTCCTTGTCCAGGGCGTACCCTGCCTTGTGCTGTTGTCCATGACCCTAAAGCCAATGAAGAAATTAGAAAATTAATCAATTATCCTGTTTTAAAGATATTGGACATGTGTAAATGGATTTGCCTGAAAAGTCCACCACTTTTGTTTTTCAGATCGTGGAAAAAAATGCAGAACCTGAAATGACCTTGCTGACATTCCTAAGACGAAAGTGTATCCTTAATTGAAGAAATAAAGCTTAAACTTTATTTTAGTTCTAGCACATAACAGTTTGTAATTACATAACACACACAGCTGTTAACGGTTTGATAACCATTATAATTGACAACAACATAACCATGGTCTAGCCTCATTTCTCAAATCTCAGAAGCTAGGCAAGGTTACACCTGGTCAGTTCTGTGATGTATTGTAAGACCAGTATGCTGCTGAATGTGGCATTGGTGGACTGGTAAGTATCAATTCTATGCCATAATATTCACACTTAGGCCCCAGTAAGGTAAATTACATGAAGGATTCCTTTATGTTTGCTTTGGGATCCTTTGAGATGAAGAGAAGTTCTGTAAATTCAACTGATTCTAATTTTTAAATGGGATGTTTTACATTTGTAGCCTCTGGGAATGCCCAATACCATTACTGTACACCACATCTCACAAAAATGGCTGGACATTGCAAATAATATTTGATGTAATGTGTAGAAATGATCATTTTAAGTTTTTCTACCCTAAATAGAAAAGCATGGATTTAATATTTGTTGGCAATGGAGTTCATAACCATATCATTGGTTGAAATTGCAAGTGTCTGATTTCCAACTATGTTCATAACAATGAAAAATGAAATTTAATTAACTCAAAAAAGCTTATTTTTGTTAAGATGTCCAGAAGTTCAAAGAGTCAGTGTTTTTTATCCTGTTTTTCTCTGAAAATCAAACATCCACTAGGTCCTTCAACTCTGGCACACCAGATTAACTATGCTTAGGGGTGTATCCTTTTCATCCAATAATGCTTCAGAATAGTTTGTTCAGGTCAATTATTTACTATGTTAGCCATCACAAGAGGATGATTCATTTTTTATTCCCCAGAAGAAGTGCATATAGTTGCAACTGGTTTGAAGTGTGATGAGAGGAGTTTCTATATACAGTATACTGTTTCATATTATACATACATTTATATACAATATTGTTAAATAATCTTTTTGGGTTAAATTTTATAACCCAAATACTCATGACTCTGAGCTCTATCTAATATAAGAACCATAATATTGTATACCTATATGTCTGAAAAAGAAAGTGAGTATTCAAAATGACAGAAGTATGTTGTATGTGTTGTATGTGAAGAAGAACAACTGAAGTGTAAGACAAACTAATCACTTAATTTATTAATTTATTAAGAAGAAAATATTAAGAAGACCTGAACATTGATTTCAACATTTGTGCACTCGTTTCTAACAATGTGGGCATATACAAAGAAATGAGTTTGATTCTTTGCATATACAGAGTCTAGGTTTTGCTTTTTAAGGAGCATTCTTTAAAAAAATAGGTATACAAAAGCTTTACAGTAGCTTTTGACTTTTTAGGTACATTTTTCTTGCTCAGTAGATGTTGTCATGTTCATACCCAATTACAGTATGCACAGAATATACTGAAGAAGATTCTGCTGAAGTACTGCACATTAATATCAATGCACTTATAATGATTCCTCATAAATTGCCACTGGCAGCTCCTGGATTAATTGACATTAGAGATTCCCGCTGTGGCAAATTGCTAAAAAGATGAGACAGGACCTCTTGACTAGTTCAAGTCAACACATGCTGAACATTTTATGCTGACACTCACCTTCTACAAAAAAATTGAAATGCCTGTAGTTTTCCAGGTCAGCATTGTATAATAATAGACAAAAATATTCTGTGTACTAGCAAAAAACAACTATTCATTGCTTATATACAGTATGGCGTCTCTGATATATTTAACTCAACTTAAATATACAGTCAAAAGTTTACATCCAGTTCATCACAATTGGTTTTAGCTTGTAGTGTAGTGTTGTGCATATGCCTTTAGCTTTTTTTTTAAAAGGTTTGGTTCCCATATTTCAAAAGTAACCCAACCTTTACCCTTATTTGACTATCATCCAGTAAACAAAGTTGTGGAATCTCCATTCATGAAGATTAATCAGCAGTTTCATTTTTTTTTAATTGTATATACACCCAGCCTTTAAATAATTTAATTCTAATAATACTGCTTAGGACCTTTCCTCAGTCTGTGTTATGTTGTCTTATCTGTAATGGGCATTTTCAAATGTTTTTTTGCTGCACAACAAAAACATGTATGCACTTCTGAAATGTATTAATACAATTAATAAAACAAAGTTTGCTTTTTGAACTCCAGTCCTACTGCTCTTTCCTTGACCTTGCTCTTTCACAGTGGGTCTGACAGGATCCAAGCTGGGCTGTGCTGAGGGAGGGTGTGGTGCCTGTACGGTGATGGTGTCCCGGTTCCATCCCCATCGGGAGAAGATTGTGTATCCTTTTAAAAAAATACCTATTCAAAACCTGACCCCTGGGTTGTGGAACTCTTGGTTCCTATCTGTTTATTGTGGTTTGTTACCCTTGTCTCCCAGGTTTTTATACCCTGGAGGAGGGGGCAGCTCTCTGCCGTGGACTCCCGGAGGTTTCCTTTCAGTTAAATGAGGTTTTTCCTCCCCCCAGTGCTGTGCAGCTCACTTATTTGTGTGGGCTTCAGGAGCCGCCCATTAAAGGGGAGGAGGTACTGTCACGCCCTCTGCAGTCAGAGGGTGCTCCTACTCTGTCCTGTCCCTAGTTTCCTGTGCTTTGCTGTCCTTCCGGTGTCTCTCTCTCTGGGGCTATATATTTCCGGGTCACTAATTCACCTTCGCTCAGCATTGACGTTCGGATGTCCTGAGACCCGCCTAGCACCAGGTCTCCCCACGTCCACTGCCTGAGGGCATTGGTTTCTATTCGACTCCTGAACTGCTGAGCCCATGCTAATCCCCCGTTCTGCCACTACGTATATGGGTCTTTTTCAGCTCTCCTGCCTCTCCATGGTTCATCCCTTCTGACATCCGTGACACTGGGAAGGGCCTCTAATTTTAATTCCTAGGTTTCAATAGCAAGATATTCAGATGTTATTCTGCTTTTTTTCCCTATTCAACAGCAAAACTGAATATATATATATATTATTATGTACCAAATCATTATTTCAATATTCTGATTTAAAAGTCTTTATGTACAGTTCAACTGCTTCTTTTTGGTTTGGGATATTAGGAGTTTGTCCCTTTTCAGAAATATTTATCAAACCTAGCAGAAGTAAAATATTGGAAAATATTGGTTTATTTGGTCAATTGTGTCATATTTGAACTTTTAAAATCAAATTAACAGCAGGAGTTATCAATCATCAACCATTGCAAATAGGTCACAATTTTATTAATTGGTGATTTGACATGAAAAAAGTATGAAAGTTTTGAAACATTTTGAAAGAAAACCATTAGCATATCATGCTAATATTATTTTATAATTTCCAAATTAATTAGACTTTTTTCAAAGTATATATTCAATTATGATATAAAAATGTTTAATTCTATACATTTTTTGTATTTTTTTGTTTAAGGATCCTTGTGTTTTTTAAAATTTCATTTTATTATCATAGATATCCTTATAATGTTGGCTATGTCTTTATAAAATTAGATTAATTAAATCGCTGAGTTGAGTAAGAGATGAAAAATGAGTAGAACATTATTGCAATTTCACATACACCTTCGCAGCACATTTAGAAGTCACTCTGTGGTGTATGGAGTTTATCTGAGGACAGTTACTACTAGATTTGTATCTCAAAAGATATTCTTAATCAAATTCCCAGTCTCAGGTCCTTGACAACCTACTCATAGTCACTATTCTATAAATGCCTGTCTGGCTCCTGTCTGTTCCCTGCATCACAGTGCTATCACCACAGTGGAAGGAATTGGCAGTGTTAAAACCAAACTTCACCCTGTTCAGGTAAGAAAAGAATACTTAAATGGGTATTCGGGTAGACTTGCTGGTTAAAGAAAGTGACTTCTATAGTAATGCACAAAACCTTGAGGAAGACCTGGTGAGTCACTTGTAGGGTAATTTGTGATGATGTTCAAGAGGGGTGCTACAAATGTGCAAGTTCAGATTAATTCCAGACATTTATCAGGAATATCTGGTCTATGATGCAAATATACTGCCGTTGAAGCCATAAGACTACCAGAGATTATATTAGTAGCTACAGAGGATGTGTTTTATACATCAAATATACAACATCACAAATGTAAATAGAAAGTAAAACACACAAAGCTAAGGGCTGTTTACTGTTTTGAACTTTGATTGGTGTTTACAAGTATTTAAGTTTTCAGACATTTTCCTATTGCAACAAATTGTTGAGGAATCACAGATTGCGTAAAATAATACAAATAATATGTATCTGGAAATAAAATTAGTCAAATGTTACCACTCTGCTCTCAGTTTTATGGTTTGGTATGTTTAAGTTATTATCAATTCTAACACAATTGTTTCACAGTAGTGATACAGCGGTATTTTCCCACAATATTTGTCACAGGCCTATTCACATACTGGATACTGCTTGACCGGTTTCTACAGGAAATAAAAGTTTTCTTTTCTCCCGTTAACCATTAAAAGCTTTCCCCTGTAACCTTCATCTGCTTGTGAGGGAAATTTGGCATTATATCCTGCATTGTAGAATTACTTCAGGTTGTAAATTATGGCATGCAGTAGAAATTCACATGCATGAAAAACAGGCTGACCTGAGAGAGAAGAATAGCCAATTTTCAGCAATTGTTCAGATTATGAAAGTTTTGAACAGTACGAATATCTCTATGCCTTATAGACATGCTTAATTCTAGCTGCTCCCAAAGTGTCACCAAGGCTGTGAATGAGTTTCTAAACAGCGGAGTGTTCAGATAGGTGATTTAACAGTTAAGTATGAAACACTTTTCTTGCAGGAGAGAATAGCCAAGGCTCATGGCTCTCAGTGTGGATTCTGTACTCCAGGGATTGTCATGTCCATGTATTCGTTACTGCGAAATGAGCCTAACCCATCCATGAAGGATATCGAAGATGCTTTCCAAGGTAGCACATTGGCTGCACCTGCGATTTTCAAGTGCTAAGTTCATCCATTTTGGAAATGGTTCTGTTGTCTAACCATGCATCACATCCACACTATCCTGAATCTCAAAATGCCTGTTAAAGCAGAAATTGGATTGTAAAAATTATATGTATTTTTTAAACACAGCACATCTCTCCAGGCAGTGCTATGGTGCAGTGGTTAGCATTGTTGCCTCACAATGCTGGGTCCCTGGGATCAGTTCCAGACATGGGGTACTAGCTGTGTGGGGTTTGTATGTTTTCCCCATGTTCACATGGGTGTCTTCCAGGTTTCCTCTTACAGTTCCAAAATATACTGGTAGGTTTAATTGTGTCTGTGTGCCTGCGATGTACTGGTGTCCTGCTGAGTTGTACCCTGTCTTTTGCCCACTGCTTGCCAGGAGTCTGGCTCCCCCACAACCCTGAGCTGGTAAAATGTACTGCATTGCACTGCATTAGGCCTATCAAAATCCAACTAATGTAAGGACAATATATTAGTGGACATTTTTGTAAATAAAATTCAGTTAGTTTCATTGCTACAGCCCAGCAGCACAGCTATAGGAACTAATTGAGAATAGTTAGAAGCTGAAAAGTGGAAATTTAGTGTGGAATTAAACTTTACTTGTCCCCCCCCACACACACACACACATCCCACAGTCTGGCTCAGGAATCCAAGCTATAGTAAATGCCATTATCTGATTTCACTGTTTGTGCTTAACACATTAATGAGTCTCTGCTGAGCTTCTTTTGCATTAATATACAATTTTGAACTCTTTTCATTTAATACCAGTACTGTTTTGCATTTTTATCCATTTGCAATCCTCTACAAACATTCTCTAAAACACATTATGTCATTTACCAAACTAAAAAAACAGAAGATAATTTCGTGGGCCAGCAAGCATGCAGAGGCGTTTTTTAACCCTTGGCAAAAGGTGAAATTTTTCTGGTCCACCTTGTTGTATACAAAAATGTACAGTGAACAACACACCACAATGCATATAGTTTCACTGCAGGATAGTCTGACTTTATTGGGCTTGTGTTTGCTTTTTGAATGATGAACATCTAGAAATAGAAACTGTTGGTACAGTATGAAAAGCAGTATGATTCAGCATGACCCAGACTGATTATATGATAATAAGATTAGTAGGAATTTATTATCTTTTGCAAAATTACATTGTTTATAACCCTCCTGATAAATGATGGGTTGTTTTATTAAAAATACTTTTAAAAAAATCAATAAAACAGTTACTTCCAAAGACCTTTCTGCCAACTTTTAAAGTGTGATTTAACTTAATTCTTTAAAGGCTCATTTCAGATTTTTTTTTCAATATACTTCTGATAAGTAGGCTGAAAACACAGTAGCTCAGAGCAGAAACTTCATCACTATATCAAAGAGATACTACTTGTGTTTTTTTTTCCTTTACACGCAGGTAATTTGTGCCGCTGCACTGGTTACAGACCCATTTTGGAGGGATACAAAACATTTGCTAGAGTAAGTAAATCCTTCCTGAATAAGAATGGCTTTTGATATTCCTTGTTACTGGCAGCTGTTCCGCCCACTTTTCCACTTACTATTTTAAGACAGAGACACACGCTGGTGCAGTGATTCACATTGCTGCCTTATTGTGCTGCAGCCCTGGGTTCAAAATCTCCCCCGTATTCACATGGGTTGCCTCTAGGTGCTCCAGTTTCTTCCCATTGTCCAAAGATTTACTGGAAGGGAAACTTGCCCTGGTGTGCGTGTATCTGTGTCTTTGTGGTCCCTGCATTGACTGGTACCCTTGCTCCTGTTGCTTTTTGGCTTAGGCTCCATCTCTCCTCACAAACCTGTTCTAAAATGGATTTATGGGTTTGTAAGACACCCAGTTATTCGCCAAGAGTCACATGAATAACAAGGCGACTGGAAGTGTCACATTCCAGTACAGTTGTTTCTCTGTGTTGTAGGATGTGGGCTGCTGTGGTGCAGGAGGAAAGGAGAATGGATGTTGCATGAACAAAGAAGGCAGATGCAATGTAAGTATTATATAGTATATTCACAATGCAGAATCAAATAGAGTGGGCAAATGCACTTATCAGCACTGTTATGTAGGGTGAAGGATACATGCAACAGAGACCCCTGCTCTTTTGTCAGAATTTTGTATCTGTCAGCTATCTAATGTGGACTTCATTTTCAGCAGAAACATAGCTAAATTAAAAGCAGAAATCTGTGATTACAATTCACCATATCCCACAGGGAATACAGCCTACCCCACTTCTGTTTAATTCTTTTCCCACCAAAGAGTATTAAATTCATTGAAATTATATGAACTATGAACTCTGAATTCCCTTTATCTTGCTAAGTGTTTCTTTGTCTAGATAGATACTGTAATTGTGTATTAGCCATATACAATTTGTTGCATTATGAATTTGTCTTTTCACATACCCCAACTTGTTCTCCATGAGACACACAGACAGGGAGAGAAGCTTGGGGTCAGAGCACAGGGTCAGCCATTTACACGGCACCCCTGGAGCAGTTGGGGTTAAGGGCCTTGCTCAGGGGCCCAACAGAGTAGGATTCCTCTGCTAGCTGTGGGATTTGAACTAGCAACCTTCTAGCTACAGGCGCAGATCCTTAGCCACAGTGCCACATGCAGTGTTGCACTTTATGAATGAGTTTCAGTTCCTGATATGTCAATGTCAAGCTAATGACTTCAATTATATTTTTTTCCTAAATTGTTTAATTTGTGAACTCATTAAGTGAAGGCAGATCCACTTTCTGATCTACAAAACCTCTCTGATTTCTCAGTTGCAGGAGCAATCTTCAGCACAGCTCTTCAATGTTTCTGAATTCATACCTCTGGACCCTACACAAGAGCTTATATTTCCACCAGAGCTACAGGTTTGCATTAAGCATTTCTTTTTTAGAAAAAGGCAATGTCTTAAATATCAGCAGCTCTTTAATACAATGATGAGGTTCAAAGCATTTCCTTAATGAAGAGAAACAAGTAAATAATTGTTGGATAAAAAAATTAAAAACATCTGAGGTACTTTTTTAAATGTGATGTCTGAACATTTTGTTGAATATATAGTATGTTCTTGGTAAGATTATGTATCGCTGACAGTGTGTTTCTGATTGTGTAGCGACTGGAAAAATCACAGAACAAGCAGCTGCGATTCAAGGGAGAGAGAGTCACATGGATTCAACCCAGCTCGCTCACTGAGCTGCTTGATCTCAAGTACCAGTTTCCTGAAGCCAAGCTTGTGGTTGGCAATACTGAAGTTGGTAAGGAATTAATTCATTCTGACATCATAGAGAAACAGATATATTGTTGAGTTTTTTTCTCGCTCATTTCCTTGTTTGGCTTTATTTGTTTATATAAAGTATTGCAGTATTGTGAATGTACTGTATATGTATTTGTGAGCTTTCAAGTTCAGACAAAATCATTGTCTAGTTCCATCACAGCAAGTAGATTCTAAAAGAAGCTAAGAACATTTGATAATTTTAATTTGATAATTAGTATTGGTTATGACCTTGCTGACCATTAACACAATCCTAACATCATTGGCACAAGGACCTGTGCACATTGAGTGGCTGCAGTTGCCTCCTATTGATGGCCTTGGTAAGTTGGTCCCAGGGATGTTCTATAGGGCTCAGGTTAAGTGAGAAACTCCTTAGTGCTGTTTTCCTGAAGTGGTTCCATTATAATCCAAGCACTGTGTAGTCTTGTGTTGTCCTGCTAAAAAATTATCACTCATTTTATCTCAAATCAAATAAACACTGGCTCAAGGACTCATCAACGTATGACTGAGCAGTAAGGCTGCCCTCAGTCTGAACCAAAGGCGTTGTTGTGTTATAGGACAGTTACCCAGGTCATAAATACTGTAAAGGTAGCGTTATAAAGGGGTCAATGTACAGTACATTAATTGTATAACATACACATTGTTAAGCTTTAAAACTAAAACGTGCTGATATGTGAGAATAGTGTTATAACAGGGATAGTATAAGGTTAGGGAGGATTTTGGGTTTCCTAAATCCTACTCAGAATGATCTGAAATTCTGTCACCAAAATTTATACTTACTGTATGACAGAAGGAGGTTATTTTAGGACAAAATCTTCATTGAAATGAGATTCTGGGAATTTATGTGTTCTAACAGAAAAATGTGCAAAGTACAAAGTCTAACAACAGAATGACTCTGTTCTTTCCATTGGTAATCTAGTCCATAAAGTACTGTTCATTCTCTCACAGTTATTTTTTGTCTTTGCCCTTGTTTTCATTGTAAGTATTGAACAGAGTAGCCAAGAATAACAATAAGAACAACATAGCATTGTGGCACTGTTAGGTACTGTGTGAAAAGATTGGTCTTGAATAGCGCCATGTTACCACATCTGAGCAGTTGGTAGTCGCACCATGTTGCCCTTTTATGGTGTCACACTTGGCTTGGAGATCCTTGCCTTTTTTTGGCAACCTTATTGCTGGACTGGACACTGAGTTTCAGAAATGAGCCAGTCCTCTGGTCAACAACTTATCTGCTTGTAGTCTAGGTTAGAAGTGCAAAACAAGGGAATAGCCTCTCAGCTCAAAACTGGTTGAACACATTGGCCAAGCAGATATGTCTGAAAATAATAATTTAATGATAATAATTATTATGATGATGGATATTACATATTTAATTGTCTTTAAGTATTAGTAATAATCTTTCCTTTGGGCATTTGTGTGTTGCAATATGTTAGAGAGGTAGTTAAGCTTAGCGTTCTGTCTTCGTTTAAGGTATTGAGATGAAGTTTAAGAACATGTTGTACCCTGTGATTCTTGCTCCAGCGTATATCCCAGAGCTCAACATTATACAGTACAATGAGAGAGGTGAGTGGCCACTTACACAGTATACAGTGTATTCCATGTTAGGAAGCCCAATTCCTGCTATTTTGAGCACTGTTGTCACCTTTTTTATTGCAAACAGAGTATCCTCAGGTTACTTTTTCAAGTACTCATATCACATGCCTGCAATATGCTATGCCCATTGAAGTATGTTTCTTTGCACGCATTCCTATTGTTGTGCTCTCTATGGCTTGTTGGGTGCCAGTACCTGACTGCACTGTTTTTGAAAAATAGTGGCCAATAGTATGTGGGGACAACCCAACCAAATAAACTGCATGCGATTTAAAGGCACCAGACACATATTAATCCATCAACCTGTGTTCAATAATAATTTGATCATTAGGGGGTTATGGTGAGATGCAGCTTAACCCAGCAGGCACAGAGCACAAGGCAGAGCAATACCCTGGGCAGGATTGCCAGTCCATCACAGTGCCTATGAGAAAACCATGAGAATTCTGCAATTACCTTGTAACGTGTTGTGTTCATTTCATGAGGATCTCCCTCCTTGCTTTTGTGTCTCAGCTGGGCCCTTATTACAAGAGCTTGTTCCATGTACAGTATTGCATAGCCTTTTGGTATGGCAGGCCTGGAATTCAGTTCATTTCGATGTCCCAAACACTCCTGAGACTGCTAGAAACTATGTATTAAAACCAGTGTCTGACTTTCTAAACTTCTGTGGATTAAAGAAGACTGACAAACCCTTTTAAAACAAATCACAAAACCAAGGTTTTGTTTTAAGGAATTGTGTTTGGGGCTGCATGCAGCCTGACCCTGATTGGAGAAGAGCTGAGGAAAGCAGTGTCACAGCTACCCAAATGCCAGACTGGAGTGTTTCAGGCAGTTCTGGAGCAGCTCAGATGGTTTGCTGGACAACAAATCCGAAATGTTGCAGTAAGTGATCCCACAACAAAAAATTGTGTTTTTGGTAAAGACACAGTACCCTACAATACCTCCAATATTCGAGCAGTAAAATCTGAACTGGAATTTTCACTCTAATAATTATGTAAATACATATTATAATAATTTCTCATGAAAAATGTTGTAGACTCTTGAGTCAATTAATCAAATTGATAGTGTAGAACCAAAAAGTATTGGGACAGTTAGTTGACAGGTGTGTTTTGTTGGTTATGTGCTTGTTGTTGGATAGTTAGACTCATAAAATTACTGTTAATGTCCTATCAACCAGTCTCACTTTGAGAGATCTAAGTCAAAGTGAAAACCAAAGAGCTATCTATGAAAAAAAAGGAGGCAATTTTGAAGCTGAAAGAAACCTTAAAACCTTGAAACCTTAGCACTGAAACATAATTGACACTTTGGAACATTCAGAAGAAGAAAGAAAACACAGATATAGTAACCAATCAATCGAGACCAAGTAAAACAATAAGAAAATGCCATTTTGTGACAGAAAAATATAGAGAAGCTTATGAGGAATAAGAAAAATATTTATTGCATTTAAATGAAATCATTTTTCATTTGAACAAGATACCTTTGGGTTTAAATGCTTACAAGAAACAAGCAACATAACTCTCTTCATAAATATAGTACATTGTTGGCAACAGTTTGTGTGCTAACCTAGAATTGTTTTTCATTTTGTTTTGCACTCCTGTATCTCTTTATATTCATGTCTGTGCAAGCCAATATGTACAGTAAATATTGTTTTTTTCTCCCTTCATATGACACATTTCCTGTATTGTGCTGTGCAATTTCAAATTTAAATGTATTTTGTGTAAGCATAGGCTTATATACAGTGGTGTGAAAAAGTGTTTGCCCCCGTCCTGATTTCTTATTTTTTTGCATGTTTGTCACACTGAAATGTTTCAGATCATCAAACAAATTGAAATATTAGACAAAGATAACACAAGTAAACACAAAA